GGCCGATACGGGTATTTTAGTTCGAGATTCGTATAATTTCGCGTTTTAATCTTCGATTAAGGCACAATAGCACTATCCTATTCCACTTTAAACTAGATTTCACAAAATAATTGAAAGTCAAAATAAAGACGACACTTTTCCCTCCAAAAGGTCCAGAGCGAATCCGTAGTTAGACAATTACCGCCAGTGTTGCCAGGTTAGACTTTTCGCCATTTAGGCTACTTCGAGGGGTCTAAAAAGGTGACCTATGGTAAAGTAAAGGTGAAATAGGAAGAGGCGATTTTAGATTTACAAATTTGATTAAGGATTTTGTGGGGAATGGAGTTGTAAAATAACTCATTTGGGGTTTGAGTATTTCTACGTGTGGGGAATGGGCAACACTGATGTTCGCCAACCGGGTCCCGTTTTAATGCAGCAAGGCGATTGTCGCGCGTCTACGGACACACAAAGATAATTTATAAAGGTTAATTTTCGTTCGGAAGTAATTTAAATAAATTGTCCACAGTTTGTCGAATTAATTTGTTGTTTAATAAACAAGAAAATACCGTCGGAACCATCAAAAATTGAACATCATTATAGTGAATTAATTGATTTGTCGAAAGCAATTGGAAGAGATATCCACACTGTGGCGCGCTTCATATTGAAAACATTGTTCAAGTAAAATAACTTCTTCTGAGTGGCAATAAAGTCGAAACTCGAGTTTCTGTAAGTATGATTTTTATTATTATTAAAACGCGACAGTCCCCCTCATGCCTCAAAGGTTTTGCTGCTACGACTATAGTCTGTCTTTTTATAAGACGGAGTAAAATGACATTTGTAGGGTTACCAGTTTTCATAAGATTTTAAATAGTTATGTAGTTGTTGTCGATAGTTTTATCGATAGATTGTGAAACAAGATACAGTTTTGTCAAGAATGACTGTATTGTGAATGTTACGACATTGTAATGATTACTACTTGCCTTTTTTTATTCTTATTTTGACTGTTGGCCTATTAGTATCCAGACCAATGTTTGTTCGTTTACATTTTAACAAGAATAGCCGGATTTGATTATCTACAACATCACCAGTTTTTTACAGCATTAAATTACATACAAAGCTTTTCGTTTACGCGATTCCAAAGACAATCTGTAACAGAGTATTAAAAAAACCGACTTCAAAACTCATTCCTAACAAACATACAAAAAGAAAAATATCATACAGTAGAATTGAGAATCTCGTCCTTTTTTTGAAGTCTGTTAAAAAGACTATCAACGACTGGATTAAGACCCTAAATTATGACGGCACAGCAATTACTGTCTATCCTCAAATAACAGTACATTTCTCTGCTGTTCAACTCATGGTAGGTACTCTCGCTTAAACACATTCTCACACCATACATATCATACACACCATATTTACTATACATCTAATCAGTACACACGCACCTTATAAACACCCATTGGAAAATTTTATGGAAGGGAAATTTTTATGGATATGTGGGGACTCTCCCTCCAGACTGGAGGGCCTACCCCACTAAAACCCCCCCGGGTTTCCCTCTCGCCGGTTGAGTCGGCGCCGTGGGATCAGTGAACATTCACCACGACGCCGCCCGGCCGCCCTAGCTTGCGCCAGGGCTCCCGCGCCAACGGAGGGGCGGGTCGGTTGTCCTTCGACCCGCCCCCCAGACGAGTGAGGCCGTACAATGCAGGCTCCGGAGTCCCTGTCCAGAGCCCGCTGGCCTCACTAGGGGATCAGGCGAGCAGCGAACTGCCTTCGCCTTCTCCCCGTACGTCTGCGCCGAAGCGGGTGCGCGTCCGCCGCGTCCTCGCGCACCCGCGGCTTCCTTTTGCGACATAACCTCTGCGCAAAAGGAGGCCACCGCCTCCCAGGCCTCCTCGCTACCGAGCATGGCGGTAACCACGCTCGGCAGCGAGAGGTCCTGCCCTACAGTCCCCGTCAGAGTGCGGCGCTGCCCATCCCACCGGCTGCACACCTCTAGGCTGCACACCGCTACATGTAAGTGCTTTGACGTTTCAATCATGGTCCTAAGTAACCAATCCGCTGTAGTACAAGGTTCTAATGTGTATGCGAAGTCCACATTACTGTGACAGTGGCGACAAGCCAGCTCTATCCTCAGTGTTCGATTGATGTCGGACGAGGTGTCTTGTGCGTGTGCAGCATACATACTTATTATTAGGGTGGTTTCAGATCAGCTGATCTATTGTGATCACCACTAATTACAGTTCGGAACCAAGGCCGACAGCATTGAAGAACTGAAGAACTTTTCTGGCTCCGGCAGATTGATGTCCTTTGGTTGTGGCAAATGCCTGATAGAGATGGAGCTTCGTACGCCCATCAGGGGATAGCATTGGGTGAGAAGATGAACAGAAGTTTCTTCTGCCTCGTGGCAGAATCTAAATTCTCTATTCTCTCTCTGCTCAATGTAGATGCATTATTCGATAATTTTAAATGTTTTTTATACTAATTTTTGTCCTTGAGGTTCTAAAGACCACTGTTTGTCTTGCAGGCGTCTATCAGCAGCAGACATTTATCTTCTGTCCAAACATTCATCTCGAAAAGAATAATAGGTTCGCAGCGTGCAATGATCTCCACTTTCGACGTTCACGAACGCACTGCGAACGTCCTTTGATTCGCGGCAAAATCGACGGCTCACTGTGTATCGCACGCGTTCCGCTCGCGGCAAGCTCGCGAACCACGTTATATTATGATTTTTGGTAACATTATCATGCAACGATGACGGTTACAGCTCGCTAGTGTGTACTCAGCCTTAGGGCGCTTGTAGAATTTAGATTAGATTTAAAAAAAATGTATACACCAGAATTGACTTATGACGTAATCAAATGGTTATCCATTTTTAAATTTGATTGTATGATTAAATTATGTATGTACTGCTTTTTTAATTAATTATTTGATTAAATTATTATTTTTTAATTTGTGCCTGTTATTTAGTAGGTTATTATTATGAATCCAGACTGGAATTGTTAGCCACATCAGCGCTGGAGCTAGCCCATGTGGCTCCCTCTAGTAGGCACACAATCAAAATGGAATACTTACAATATTTTCCTCAGTGATCGAAAATTTAAAATAAAAAGCCGTGGTAGGTTTCCTAGTTTGACCTCAACGTCTTCTCAAACAGAGACCGTGGATTCGAATCTTGGCTTGCACCTTCTGCATGTAATCGTAATATTTTACGTGCAAGTGTGATGAAAAATAGTTATTTTTGATATAAGTGCGGAAAGTTAGTCATTATTTACGAGTCTCGAAGCTTCTTGGCCCGAGCCAGAGGCGAGGGTCAAGACGCGAGACAAGTGAAAATGACAAATCCGCACGTGTATCAAACGACGTTTTTTAATACATTTGCGAAAAAACTACATTGAAAGTAAAATAAAACTCATTTTCTGCTAGTAAATTAAAATAATGAAATACAACCACTGCAACCATTATTTAAAAGTCTAAGGAAATCTAGTTCTAACGTGCTTTTGATCATTTTCTGTAATATCGGTCTGTAACCACTTTTCTTATTATGAAGTCCTGGTACTTTTGTTTAAACTTCTTTAGGAACCCGTGCACGGTAGTGAGATACAATTTATCTGTAATACATAGAACAAATAAATATATACATAAAAATCTCGCCTGTCACCCATTCAGGGGTAGGTTACTGAGGACCTCCACTCGATACGTTCATTATATATTTGTAAATAAATATAAGTTTTAATGACGAATGACTTATGTACGTCACAAAGCACATAAATATGAAATAAATATACAATCTCTTTAGTTCTGTGTTTAAGACTTAAAACAACAGTAAATTTAAAAAAAACTGGTAAAGTAAAAAGCACTAGTGCGAGAAATCCAACTTTCCGCACGATTCAACAACTCTTTTATGGGGAATTCGACAACTCTTTTATGGGGAACTGTATACGTTTTTACAATAAGATTCCGGAGCATATATTAAGTTTATCATTTCCTAAGTTTAAAAACTACATTAAAAATATTTTGATCGAAAAATCATATTACAAAATTGAAGACTACGTGTTAGATAAAGATGTATGGAAAGACGACATGGCTCCAGAATCCACACAAATTTGATTCAAAATGTATTCCATAGCATTTAAGTTTATTTGAAAAGAGCAATCCCTAGAGTTTCTTGCTCGTTCTTCTCAGGGAGGTCAGCGTAGTGAACGAGCAGTACCTTAAATGTGACGTTTTCAAGTGTAAATTTATTTTACCTATGGAATAAATCATCTTTGACTTTGACTTTGACTTTGACTTTGATTTGTAGTGCGAAAAATACCACGTTTTGAGCAACTGTATTAAAAATTTTTTTTTTATTATTTTGTATATTTTCCTATATTAATTTCGAAGATAGTGTAAAAAGGTATAATGTACAGTCGCTAATTTCTAAACGTCATTTCCTAGATAGTTTTTATACAAGCTCATTCAAAATGATTTTGATTCCGTTGAAGTGAGAAAACCGCGTTTAATGTACCTCCTATCTCTTCACGTTCAAAAAGGACGTACTATGTTTCAAATTGTCAAACAAATTATGGTAAAAATACCTTTCTCAGCCGTGTCAGAAATAGTCGGTTTTTCTTTAAAATGTTTGAACGTATCCTTGGCTAAGGTTATTAGATCTAATTACCATTTCCATAAAATATTTGTCTTAATAACTGTAAAACTACTTCGTCTATTCTAATGCTATTTAGACATGTTGATAGTTTGGCGTGAAGTTTTTTTTATTTCTATGTTATTGGGTGTAATAAGCGAGAAAAATCAATGACTACGGTAATTAGGCTGAGACATCGACTGCGAGAATGGCCGCTATATGATATTGATATATTTGCAAATTAATTAAATATTTAATAAAAAAGTGGAATAACTGACATTGTAGTGGTTCTAATGTATATTTTTTTAGGTCTGTAGGTGAACGTGGGGTATTGGGAGCCCGCGGGTTATGAGAGCGGTGTTAAACTGGACTTTCCCAATGCTCGTATTTGTGCAAACGGCACTCCTATGTCTTCGTTAACGTTCGACAAGGTTCGAGTACCGTGGGCGCCTCCGTAGAACCTCGCGTTTAGTCGCATGAGATGGTTGTATGTTTTTTTTTGTTGTAAGTTTGCTAAATTTCATTATCCCAGGTAAGCATTAAAATGCATAGATACTTCATTGTATTTACACTAGCTATGTCACCATATTTAACAATTTTTAGAAGTTATGCTCGAAATCACAATAAAATAGAAATGTTTTTACTGTTTTACTCCTTTTTCAACTATGATGTTACGCGGGTAATGAGAGCTATTTGGTTCTCCTTATCCCATTGCAATATTCACTGGATATTTCTTTAACACTTTCTTGTTTATTTTCATTACTTTTTAACTTATATATTTTATTACTTTAATTTTTTTTCAGTCTGATTATATATAGTGGCTCCCATTTGACATACGGGATTCATACCGGCTTCCATTTCCCGAACTGTGGGGTAATGAGAGCGAATGACATGTATTAGTTTTTTCTGTTTTAATCAAATATTTTACTTTAATTTCATATTTTTTCTGTGATGATATTTAGTACCCAGATATGTGAAGCGTACGTCCATACCTAATAAAAATTTAAATTGCATAAATTATGACTTTTATTGTCAATTTTCCTTAGTAGGCTCCCATTCCCCCACGCTCCCCTAATGTTAACATTTTGGTAGTATAATGTAGATATTTTTATTTTGTATCCTCGTAGAAAAAGTGTTGTACGCAATCATTACATAGGTAATTAGGTGTTAAATCTTTATTTATTTAGGGGCTTTGATAATTATTGAACATATCAGCCCCATTAGAAAAACAATACCTCAAGAAATGACTTAATTAAACCCAGGCAGATAAATAAAAATATTACCTAACCAAACACGTATACAAAATCTCCGCGGCGCTACATGTTAGCTCCGACAAAATAGATTGAAACCACCGAACATTAAACGTACGAGGACCAGCCTTGTAGGTTCCGTCCGAATACACTCCATGAGCAAACGATGTATATACTCAGGAATCCCACATGCTTCGCAATAGGATTAGACTTAACTCGCCACGAGTGTGGGGCGGTGTCTGACTCTGCACAGCATACGGTGCACGAGTGCCCAGCATGGTCTCGTCCTCCTCACAATCTGACGAGTATCATCGTGAGTGATCTCTTGCTGACCAGCGTGACGAATACCATGCTGATCTCGTATTGCGAGGTTGTGATGTCTTAAAAGGAGACCGCAGAAAGAGATAGGAAGCGGGACCTCCATGAGGATCCGGTTCGGCGAAACGACTGGGGTGAAAGGGTTGTAACTCTAACTAGCCGTGAACAGATTCACAGCAATGAAATGGGAAACTTCCAGTCCACAAAATTTATTAAAGAAGTAAAATTTAAAGAAGGGGCTGTAACAATAAAATGGTAAATGTAAAAAAACAGGTACAACAGTATTAAACACTCCCTACACTTTATTATTAAGGCACTTACCCCTAAATGGGCCGAGTAACTGAATTACAGATATAGGTACATGAAGGCTGTAGACTTATAAATTATTACACATGATTTAGCTTATTAAATGATTACAAACGTAGTAAAGAACCAGAATTAGCGATTATTCGCGATGGAATTTGGAACAGCTCCGACTGTTGTGGCGGTCGAGCTGGGAGTGACCGTGGTACGAAAACAAAATGAGAAAGTGAAGGAAGATGGAACAATTCAAATTTAAAATTTAAATACATGTAAAATAAAAAATGATAGGATACAAGCGGAGAGAGGCGATACGAGGTGAGATGACGGCGTAAGGAGGTCACACCGTCACAGGGGGGTCGGTGAAGGCGTTACATCCGCTTCCTTCCACCATCCCTGGATCAGTGGTTTTGCACGGCTTTGCCCGTTTCGGGAGATGCCCAAATACACCCGGGCATCCCACGAACCGGCACCGGTGAGAGAAGATCCGTACACAGGTTTTTAGTGGGTAGGCCACCGAGGATCTATCGGGCGAGCTTTTCTCTCCGGGTCCACGGAGAAGTTATTACCCCGCCATGTCATCGCCCGCGGCGGGGTACCTATGCCTAATGCATTTTGCTGTGTATAAAAAAAGGCTTTTTTTGTCTTTCTCCCTTTCTTTCTATTTTACTCGATAGAAGAGATGCTGAAGGTCTGTTTTGAATACGCTGCTTCTCATGGTCTGCGCTATAACATTAAAAGTGTGAATGCATTGTTTTTACGGCCTCCGGTAACAGTCTTAAAGAATTCCCAGAAATAATCCTCAACGACATGAACATTAAAAGAGTAACTTCTTTTAAATATCTAGGTCATTACGTTACCGACGACCTAAAGGACAATGACGACATTGGAAGAGAGCGTAGGGCTCTAGCGGTAAGGGGTAATATGTTGATCCGTAGGTTTTCCCAAATTTCCAGAAGTGAAAATAACACTTTTTAAACTTACTCAAAGTTTCTACATCGCGAGGCTATGGGTTGACTACACCAAACGGTCGCTGGAGACCCTACGTGTACAGTATAATAACATTTTTAGAATGATGTTGGGACTACCTCGTTTCTGCAGTGCATCGAGGATGTTTGCAGAGTATGAGACGGGTGGCTTTGCTGCTATCCTCCGGAGAAAGACAGCATCCCTGATGCGCAGAGTGCGGGGCAGTCTCAACAGCATCCTACAAACTGGCTGGTAGGATTACCTCTTCCATGTGGCAATGCTTCATAAGGAAGATTATTTGAAAAGTAAACAAAATCTACTAACACTAATTTATAAGCCCTTTTTCATTATTATTATTACTAACAAATTGTGGAACTCGTTGTCTGAC